CAAAAAGACCATAACTGATACAACTTGAACCAGTAAAAAATACACGTTGGTAGTTTTTGTTCTCCTGCAAATAAATGATATGACAGATAGAATAATGAGATTCTCAATCAACTGATTACAAGTTAGTGGCTTGGTACATCCCTATCAAAATGCACATGAGAGCCTGTCAATTTTTGTTTTCCCCTCTGGAGAAGAACATTTTGTCCCTGCACTTCCAAAATACTTGTCATGTTCATTATTTTCAGCACTGACTCACCGGGAACCTTTATTTTATTTTATTTTCCTTTTCCCCTGAATCCAATAACAAATGCTTCAAAATTCACTTACATTCAGAGACAAAATATGGGAAAATGGAAAATGGAGGATACATGCCTATATTGATCAGGATCCTCATTCAAAGGTTCGATGTAAGCTTTAAGAATAGTGGCTCGATCTTCATCACTTGGGTACCTATCCATGAGTTGATGATATACAGTGACGAAACCAAGTGCAAACAGGGCCACACGAATGTTGCTGTATGATAAGTTTGTTGGATATTGGTTAAATAAATCGAGAATTGAAAAATCGATTAAAGTTCGTATCGACTTCGGCCAAATACTCAAAAGCTCGACTCAATCCGTTTAAGCAAAATTGTTTGCCAATTCGCCGCTTTCATGGTCAATAAATAGGACCCTTTGGGTGTCCTATTCCACACAATCTGATATGCAAAACGTCTCTCATCCTCTCTTCTGTCCAAAATCAAAATCATTTCATTTATTTTGATTTTCTTTCATTTCATCCTTAGAGTACATAAGCCTAAATTTGGTTCGTTGTACTTGTGTTTTGGAGTGCTACAAACACAAGTGTAGCCGTTGTATCTTGGGAGTCGATTGCCGAAATCCGTAGACACCGTTGCGGGGCAAATTCGACTTAAGGACAAAGAGTCCAACTCTTGCCTCGGCTTTGTCACCATCATTATACTTATTTCGGCATCACTATTCACAAAAATCATCCAACAAAGTTCTTGTAATACAGTACTGTATATACTCGAAATTGAGCAACAATGTCATTTAACATAGCTGGAAAAGATTAACAGAATCACTAAGATTTACCATTTTATTCCAAATATTCATAAATTAAGTTGGAAAATGTTCTTGAAAATTTTCAAGTCTCTCCTAGAAAATTAACAACTTGTTCAGAATGCCTGGATGGTTCAATATTCTTGTAAAATGAACACTTTGGAACAGAAAATTGTATCTTTTTCTCACTAAAAGTGATATCTATTGGAAAAATTGGCCGACTTTGGCACGAGTTTTGAGTGGAACCCAGTTGTTCAATTTGGAAGATGAAAGTTGATTTGTGTTCTCCTCCGTGAGTACATCGAAATCATATACTTACTTGCCAAAGTTGATGCTCGGGTGAATGAGAAATTGAGGCTCAAAGTGTGCCACTCAAAAGGGAGTTTAGATGGGAAAAATGAATTTGTCCCACATAGGAAAAAGATGAGGAACTCCAAAGGTCATTGCCATTAATGGTAGCCTAGCCTATAAATAGTGGCTCATTTTCCTCATTTCAACACACAAAAAAAAAAAAAAAAAAAGGAAAAGCTTTCAATATAGAATACACTAGAAATTCATTTGCATAGAGTTCTCTCTTGGTGGTTGTGTAGTTCAGGCACTAGTTCAGTTCGCCGGAGTGGTTTTTGCGGTGCTCGGAAGCTACTGGTTTTATCCACATACACTGAATTTCCTACAATATATCCATGTAATTTCCTCGTAATTAAAAATGATAATAAAATTACCCGTGGCAGTGGACATGCAGTGAGCTGTCATACGAGGACTAGAAGCTGGAAAGTTAAGTGAAAAAATGTTTGCCACGAAATTTGAATGCATCAAAATTGCTACCGAAACTACGAGTCAAATTCTTGTCTGAGGATTGAGTTATTCCCATGAACGATACTGAAGCTATGTACGCTATTTATTATATGTAGAAGAAAGTAACAGAATTGATTGTTCTTTCTGCATAGAGAAATTTTGGTTTAGAATAGGAAATGGATTGTGAAAGTGTAAAAGGCATGTTTCACTGAATTGGAAACTCTGGAGTTATTTAAAAGAAGTGCTACTTTGTCTTTTTTAATTGGTTTGGTGGGCCACATGGCAACCACCAATTGGTTATTTGACTAAAATGAGGATTGTGCTTCTTCAACTCCATTGTGAAGCATTGGATCATAATATGTGAGGAATACACATGATTTTTATGACTCTTGTGCTACCCGTTTTTAGTGGCAAGAGAGTTCTCATTCTTTCTGTACATCTTTAAAAAGTGGCTCTCTCTCTGTCTCTCTGAAATTCTTCCAATTTCTATTATGTTTCGCTATGATTATTGGAGAGGTTAAAGAATTGTATAACCCTTGTGTTATAGACTTGAAAGAAAGGTTTCGGTCTGTTATTTTTGACCGTGGTGCACTAGTTTAGCTGTGTTAGTTCTTGTCAAGTTTAGAGTTGATTCTTGTATCTGGTTCTTGAGATCTTTGTGTGATCTATGATTAGAACCTTAAGAGAAAGTCAGATTGGTTCCTTTGTACATTGTTCTCTTTGGAAGGCTAGTTTTACATAGTGGATTGGGCTGATCGTGAGCCCCCCAGATTAGCCCTTATTTGGGTGAACTGGGTGACCATTTTTGGTGTTATTATTCTTTACATTTTCTTCATTTTATTTACTATTTGAGATGTGTGATTTTTGCCGAATGATAGATGTTTTTGGTTTGACTGAGTGACTGAAAATATAAGATCATTGAGGTAAAATCAAATCTGGGACCTAAGAAAAATGGGTTGTACTACCTAATGGGTGAGGCAATTACTTCACAAGAAGCTAATCACCTTATTGTTACTGATGAAAAATCTAAATTGTGGCACAAAAGAATGGGGCATATAGGAAATAAATGTTTGAAACATTTTGAGTGACCAAAAGTTACATGATAAAGGTCTTATTAAACCTTTATATTTTTATGAGACTTGTTTGTTGGGAAAGTCTCACAGGGTGTGTTTTGAGGTGGGTTCACATATAGCGAAAAGACATTTGGATTATATCCATGCAGATTTGTGGGGGCCTGAAGAGCATCCCAGCTTTGGTGGAAATAAGTACTTTCTATCCTTAGTAGATGATTACTCTAAAAAAGTATGGGTTTATCCCCTTAAAGGCTAAATTTGAGACTTTTCATAAATTTCGGACTTGGCTTAAAATTGTGGAAAATCAATTGGATAAAAGGTTAAAAACTCTAAGAACGGATAATGGTATAGAGTTTTTAACGCGGAATTTGATAACTTTTGTAAGCAAAAGGGAATCATGAGACAAAGGACGGTTAAGTACACACTTCAACACGATGGGGTAGCGAAAAGAATCAATAAGACTTTGATGAATAAGGCTAGGTGCATGTTAGTCAGTTCAAGACTTGCTAAAGGGTTTTGGGCTGAGGCATTATGCAAAGCAGCATATTTGATTAATAGATATCTATCTAGTTATGTCGAGTTTAAGACTCCTCAAGAACTATGGACAGGGAAGCTACCAAATTTAGCACATATTAGAGTGTTTGTGTATATGGCATATACACGCCAAACTGAGGGCAAGTTGGTGCCTAGGGATATTAGACGTGTTATGCTAGGCTATCCTAAGGGGATTAAAGGTTATAGGTTGTGGATTTTAGGGGAACTTGATATTAAGATCATTAACAGCAAAGATGTTATGTTTAATGAATCTTAAATGCCTTGTTTAAAATTCAGAAAACATGATGATTCTCAGGAAATTGAATCTCACAAGAAATTTCAGAATGAGGTGAAGTTGGCAAAATATGACTTCACTCATTCCGATGAGAATGAGCCTGTAATTGATGAGGTTGATGTACCTCATGGTGAAAATGAAAAAGAAACTAACACCCCAATAATTGAAGAGAATTCTATCCAGCATTACAAATTGGTTAGGGCTAGAGGAGTTTGGTTAATTTGCCTAATGGTCAAAGAACGGTACAATGTAAGTGGATTTACAAACTGAAAGAGGGGTTTGACTATATTGAGATATTTTTCCTTGTCATTGAATATAAAATAGTAAGATTCAATTCAATTGTGAATTTGAACCACTAGATGTTAAAACTGCTTTCCTACATTGGGAATTGAGGGAAAATATCCATAAGAGTCAACTACTAGGCTTTGAGGTGAAGAATGACATTGTTCGTAAATTGAAAATGCTTGATAGGTTGATCCTTAAAGGATGTGTGGATGTTGACTTTGTGCGTGGCAAAGATCACATGAAATCCATTATTACCTACTTCTTTACACTGGAAAATGACTACATAAATCTGAAAATTGTGAAAGAATGGATTTGGTTGAAAGGGATTTTGTGTAATTTGAATTTTCTGCATGATACTTGCATTAATCTCATTGTTAGTCTTATAAATTTTGCTCATTATGAGAGGTAAACATATGTTAAGGCGAAGTATCATCTTCTAAAAGGATAAGATAGCTTCAGATGAAGTTAAATCTTGAGAAAACTCAAGTTGATGTATGTCCATTTGATATGAGACTTAAAATGCTTTCAACTAGTATGTTTAAATTTTGGTTTATCAATTCCGTTTATTGATAATGGATAATTCTTTTGTAGGTACCGGGCAATGATGATGATCAGTCTTACTATGTAAACCATGCAACTAAGAGAGTCGGTGTATTTAGTGAAACAAGGTGAAGATTGAAAGTGTAAAAGGCGTGTTTCATTAAATTGGAAACTTTGGAGTTATTTAAAAGAAGTGCTACTTTGTCTTTTTTAATTGGTTCGGAGGGCCACATGGCAACCACCAATTAGTTGTTTTACTAAAATGAGGATTGTGCTTCTTCAACTCCATTGTGAGGCTTTGGATCATAATGTGTGGCTAGGATTTAATCTTGATTACATATGGTTTTTATGACTCTTGTGCTACCTATTTTTAGTGGCAAGAGAGTTCTCATTCTTTCCGGAGATTTTTAAAAGGTGGCTCTCTCTCTCTCTCTCTCTCTCTCTCTCTGTGTGAAATTCTTCCAATTTCCATTATGTTTCACTGTGATTATTGGAGAGGTTAAAGAATTGTATAACCATTGTGTTGTAGACTTGAAATAAAGGTTTCAATCTGTTATTTTTTAGCGTGGTGCACTAGTTTAGCTGTGTTAGTTCTTGTCAAGTTTAGGGTTGATTCTTATATCTGGTTCTTGAGATCTTTGTGTGATCTATGATTAGAACCTTAAGAGAAAGTCAGATTGGTTCCTTTGTACATTGATCTCTTTGGAAGGCTGGTTTTACATAGTGGATTGGGCTGATCCCGAGCCCCCCAGATTAGCCCTTATTTGGGTGAACTAGGTGACCATTTTTTGGTGTTCTTATTCTTTACATTTTCTGCATTTTATTTACTGTTTGAGATGCTGTGATTTTTGCAGAATGATAGATGTTTTTGGTTTGATTGAGTGGCTGAAAATAAAAGATCATTGAGGTAAAATCAAATCTGGGGCCAATAATCCCAACAGATTTCCATTTCTAAGAAAATGAAATTGAAGAGTGGATTTAAGAGATTATCCATATTTTGTTGTTGCTTTTTGTTTGCAGATTGAAAGCCAATCTGCAGTTGACACATAGTTGAAATGAGATGCTGAGCTATCATTGTTGAGCTTGGATATTCTCAGTTTTTGAGTTTATTTTTATTTTTGTTTGTATAACATAGGACATGGGTGTGTGGTTACGGTTGTTTGAGTAATATAATTAAATCCTTGAAGATTGTTCTTTAAATATCTTTTCAATTGCTTAATTAAATCCTTGAAGATTGTTCTTTAAATATCTTTTCAATTGCTTATTTGTACGAAAATAACATTTTAGTAAGAGACTTGCTAGAAAAACAGAGGGCCTGACGGGCCCCCTGACCGAACCCCACCCATGGCGGGACCGGGGCCTGTCAGCCCTATTTATCTAGCAAATTTCTTTTAGTGATCCTGTGTTATTCTTCTTTACACTTCCGCTTGCATAATTTTGCCTACCACTTGTCTGAATTTTTCTGGTACCTAGACTCAGCATGTTGACCTTAATTGACACTGTTCACTTTCGATTGTAAATGTATTATCAAACAAATTAGGGTGTTTTTGATGACAATGATCGTAGTTAAAGCGGATGTTGTGAACAATGGAACAATGAAGTTGGATGAAGAATTATGAAGACTCTGGAGAAAAATGGAAAGCTGGAATTCAAAATGTGGTAGACTTAAGAGCAAAAACTTGTTCTTGTACAAGTTATGTTAAGCTGTGAATATAATTATCCATTTAAAAAGTAGAAATGGGCTAAAATGACAGTTTTTTGCTCTTTTAATTATTTTTACTCGTCAAGCTTCTTCTTTTAATGCCTTTTATATTTTGTGATCAAATCATAGATGTACTTTACTAATATAACAGACAACAAATACTGATACTGGAGTTTAAATCCTTCAACCATATATATTTAACAAGATTCTCTTATTCTAAATATAAGTTGAGTCAGTTGTCTTATCTCAAGTGATACTAATCACTGAAATGCTTGCTCAAATAAATTAGCAATGAAGGATTTTTGCAAACCGAAATCTCATTTTTTTTAAGCACTCTACGTTGGACAATCAATTTTGGATAGCAGATCTCAATTTTCTTGATAACCAAAATAATAATAATAATAATAATAATAATAATAATAATAATAATAATAAATAACAGACTTAAGAGGGGTTCAGCCAGACCTTCAGCTAAAGTGCACTATGAGTTAACTTTTAGTAGTTACAATTAAAAGTAGTCGAAGTGACTTGGGATTTCATACGCTTCATTCCTTTCTTTCTTGCTTAACTTTTGTATGTTTGGTTTGCACCTAACTTTTCGATGATTATAAGGGACCTCAGGAGGTTTAACGGTCCTGATCAAAGCCCAATTCACTCCCTTGAAGAATTCATGCCTCTTTATCTCAACAGAGCCCTTTTGGATTCCAATTCTTTTCTTGGGGTTCTTCACCAGAAGCCTGTTTATTAAATCCTGGACTTTCACCAATTATTCATATTCTTTGCTACTACTGATTCCCACTCTTGGGAAGGTCAATGATTGCTTCAATATATTGATGAGAGTTTTCTCATTGTTCTCTCCTTTAAACGGTGTCATACTGTACAAAAGTTCGTATAGAAACACCCCAAATGTCCACCAATCTACTGCACTTCCATGTCCTTGCCCGGAGATGACCTCAGGTGCCAAGTACTCGTGTGTTCCGACAAAGGATTTTGATCGAGCATTAATAGGTTCTGCTACTAATTCAGAATTGTATTGTTGAACATCCTTCAGTTTTGGAATTGTTGGACCTTGAGTTCTGTCTTTTGTTAGACCTGGCGAGAAAAAACGTAGTTTGATAATAAAATTATATAAAACAGTTGAGAAGTAATTATAATTTAATAATATTATGATGTTATAATACCTTCTTTCATGGAAGTTGAAAAACATGAGAGCATTGGCTGTATAGGCATGGCACAGGAGGGAGTTGAGCACACGGGATTTTTATTAATGGCAGCTTCTTGTTCAAGTTTAGATCTTATGAGTTTGGGGACACTTTCACATTTGAGAGAGAGATCAAAATCTGAAAGCATAATGTGACCATCTCCTCTTACAAGAACATTTTCTGGCTTAAGATCTCTATAAACAATGCCCAACATGTGGAGATACTCTATGGCCAAAAGAGTTTCTGTTGCATAAAACCTGAAATGCATGTATGAAAATGTACAATACACTAGATTAAGGAACAACTTTCTAATTATCTGTTAATTTGTTAATGAATACTTAAAAATATATAGACACAAACTTCCATCTAACTTTGCTATGGTAAAGCTATTTAGAATGAAAAAAAAAAAGTTGAATCAACATCATCGTTCTTAATTTCGGACTTGACTTTGTTTATCTATCGATTATTTATCCAGCACTATGTTTTCTATGGATACATCAACATACATTTACCATATTCCCCAGCTACTAGAGGAGTACGGGGAGACTTGCGCGCATTTTGTTTAGGTATGCACCACTAGATTGCTTTTCAGGGTGGGTAGATCATGCAGAGTTTTTACCCCTTGTCAAAGAAAATTGGGAAAAGAGAACTAGAAGCTCAGGCTTATTCAAACTTGGAGAAAAATTGAAGAGGTTAAAACCAATTTTGAAAAAGTGGAACAAAGGTGATTTTGGGAATATCAAATGTCGCATGGTGGAGTTGGAAGACAAAATTGTCAGGCTGGAAGATCAAGTTTTAAATTCCGTTAATGCGTAGGATGAAAGGGAATTAATTGCAACAAGACTTGAATTGAAGGATTGGATTCGACAAGAAGAAATTTTCTTGGCACAAAAAACCAAATTGAAATGGTTAAAAGAGGGGGATGCCAACACTAAGTTCTTTCATGTGTCAATTGCCAAACGTTGGAAAAAATCTTGGTATTGTAGCATGACTTTACATGATGGATCAACACTTGATAGCCCACAAGCGTCCATGATGGAGCAGTGAAGTACTTTCAAGTGTTACTAACGACTGATAATGTCATACGGACGATTGAATTATTGAACGCACTGATTACACTGAGCATATCATTGGAAGATAGTATTAGATTGTGTGAGGCTCCTTCTCGCGAGGAAGTAAAATTTGCAATGGATTCATTCCATAGGATAGTAGCCCTGCCCTGATGGTTTCTCATCGAGTATTTATATGAGTTGTTGGGATATCGTTGGAGAAGATGTTTGGGAGGCTACGGTAGATTTTTTTGGTGATTCAATGCTCGCCAATTTTTGCACATCAACTTATATTGTTCTCATCCCAAAAGTCAAGGTTCCTAGCAACTTTGGAGACTTCAGACCCATTAGCTTATGTTCGATGATCTACGAATGCTTTGCCAAGGTAATGGTTAACAGATTGAAACCTTTACTTCATAAATTTATCTCAAAAGAACAAGGGGCTTTCATAGCGGACCAAAGTATTTTTGACAATATTGCCTTGGTATAAGAGCTACTTCGAAGCTTTAACAAGAAGATACGAGGTGGGAATGTAATGCTTAAAGTAGACATGATGAAGGCGTGTGATAGGATTGAATGGAACTTCTTGATGGCAACCCTAAACTCTTTCGATTTCTCTACACGATTTTTCCAATTAATACAAAACTGTATTGTCGCACCTTCATTCTCGATGATGATGCATGATACTTATCGTGGATTTTTTCAAATCTTTCTGGGGAATCTGTCAAGGAGATCCTCTCTCTCCATATTTGTTTATTATTGCAGAAAAGACTCTTACATGCATGCTACGATAGGCTTGTTTGGAACAATGCATTGTAAATTACTCTCTTCCTGCTGGAGCACCTCGTATCTCTCACCTATTATATGCTGACAATCTAATTATTTTTTGTAATGGCAATAAAGTGTTTATTAAAACAGTGGTAGAGATCTTAGGCATTTATGAAAATATGTCGGGACAGAAAGTAAATCATAGGAAATCAACTATATTTTTCTTGAAGCACATATCCTTGTCGAGAAAGAATGAAGCACTCTAGTTGAGTAACTTCACACAATGGTCTTTTCCAATTACTTATTTGGGCATTCCAGTATCTCCAGACTGTTTGTGTATCAAACATATTGAGCCGCTAGTTATGAAGGTGAGAAAGAAAATATCTATCTGGAAATTTTTACTCTTATCAGCTGGAGGAAGATTAACTCTTGTTAAGCATGTTCTTTCAAGCATGCCTATACATATCTTATTGGTCATGTGCATACCTAAAGGGGTTATTCATCAGATTCACTTATTTAGAGAGAGGTAGCTAGCAAAGCTAAGTGGCATTGGGTGAGCTTTGGAAATATTACCAAACCTTTATCAGAATGAGGCTTAGGCATCTGAGACTTAGCAGAAGTAAAAGTGGCTCTTAAAACAAGATTTGCTCGAAAAATTTGTTTTTCAGATTCACTACTAAAGGAGTTCCTAAAAGCAAAATATTTTCTTCACAAATCATACAATGAGATTCAGATATCAGCTTTGAATTTACCATTCTGGAAGAGCATTGCAAATTTGATACCTATGGTAATTGAAAATTCGGTGTGGCAAATCAAAAGCGGAGATGTTAATTTCTGGTAAGATATTGGTCTGGTATAGGACCGCTATCAAACTTGGTGGAGGTAATGGAGCCTAACTTGAGGTTAAATGTTGTGGTGACCTTAAGGGGGTGGAATGAAGATGTCTTGTCAGATCTAATTGGGGGTGATTTAGCTAAAGCTGCAATAGAACAAGTTCCAAGATTACGTGAAGGAGTGGATAAAGTTTATTGGAAACCATCTCTAGATGGTTCTTTCAGCACTGGAAGTACTTGGGAGATTATTCGAGCCAAACAAGAGTGTGTAGATTGGGATAAATGGGTATGGCACCCTTTAATTCCAAAAAAAAAATATCCTTCATCACTTGGAAAGCTATACATAATGCGCTCGGTATGGATGAAAGAATACAAATGGTGGGGATCTCCTTAGCATCAAAATGTGTATGTTGTGCTATACCTCATATTGAGTCCCTCGACCATTTGTTGGATGGCAGCAACCTGGCAAATTTCCTATGGGTATAGATACAACGGCTATAGGCATTTCTCGCATTACATTGATGGGTTAGAGGCAAAGAATGAACCTTTGGTACTATACCTCATATTGAGTCCCTCGACCATTTGTTGGATGGCAGCAACCTGGCGAATTTCCTATGGGTATAGATACAACGGCTATAGGCATTTC